GGGGTTAGGGGTGGGGCTGTCTTGGCATGTGGTGCTGGGGATTCAACTACAGTCCCTGAGCTTGCCTAAGCTTGCCTAAGCAGGCGCTTTAGTCCACTGAGCTATCTCTCCGGCCCAATATTATTCTATCTCTAAAATGACCTTTGTTTTTGTTTTTAATGGAAAGAGAAAAATTACAATTTTTAAACTGCTACAATCTAGTTAAGTAGCTTTCGGCCCAGTGGCCGCAGGCGTCCAGGGAGGGTGCTGTAGAGCTCACTCCAGGCAGGAAGTCTGAAAAAGATCTAATGACCAGGCCCAGGACCTGAGTCACACTAGTACCTATCTGCAAACATTCAGGTGGCGAAGACAGAGCGCCTCCTCTTTGCGGAAAGGTCAGCGCCTCCTCTCTGAGAGCATGACATAGAGCCGCAGGGTGTCCGCCACCCCATCTCCCTATGGCAGTGCTCATGAGCAGGCGGCCCACTGAAAGGGGCCAGGCTCAGCCGTGGCAGGCGCGGGTGGCGGCAGCTGGACTCATTTGGGACCAGCAACAGGTCTGACCCACTCTTCTTCGGGCCTCTCACAGTGGTGCCACCCCCAGGGGGTGGTGAGTTGAATGTGGGTCCCCCAACAGCTGTGTCCACACTCTGAGCCCTGGAACCGTGAGTGTGGTCTCACTTGGGCAGGGTCTCTGCAGATGGGGTAAGTAGAGGATCTCAGCGTGGGCTCGTTCTGGGTGACTCGGGGCCCCCTAGTCCAAGGATGTGTCCTTGCAAGAGAAAACAGAAGAGAGGCAGGAGAGGAGGCCTCAGAGGCAGAGGAGCAGCTGGAGCAGCTCCAGCCGCCAGCCCAGGGGCCGAGCGTGCGGGAAGCGGGAGACGCAGCGGCGCTGGAGCCCTGCAGGGCCGGGGCCTGATCGACATCTTGGTTGGGGCTCCGGCCTCCAGGATGGTGTGAGAATGCATTTCTGCAACCCGAAGCCACCACATGTGGGGTGATTTGGTTTGGTGGCTTTAGGAAGTGAATACAGAGGCAGCAGCAAAGGTTTGCCTCGCAGAGGGACGGGGGCGGGCTGCCCGCTGGGAGGGG